CTTTTTTTTTTTTTTTTTTTTTTTGTAAGGCTGGGTGTAGTGGTGCAATCACAGCTCACTGTAGACCGGAACTACTGGGCTCAAGCCACCCTCCCACTTCAGCCCTCTGAGTAGCTGGAATGACAGGTGTGCACCATCACACCTGGCTAATTTTTTTAGTTTTTTGTAGAGACAGGGTCTTGCTATGTTGCCCAGGTTGCTGTCAAACTCTTGGCCTCAAGAAATCTTTCCGGCCGGGCGCGGTGGCTCAAGCCTGTAATCCCAGCACTTTGGGAGGCCAAGACGGGCGGATCACGAGGTCAAGAGATTGAGACCATCCTGGCTAACACGGTGAAACCCCGTCTCTACTAAAAAAATACAAAAAACTAGCCGGGCGAGGTGGCAGGCGCCTGTGGTCCCAGCTACTCGGGAGGCTGAGGCAGGAGAATGGCATGAACCTGGGAGGCGGAGCTTGCAGTGAGCTGAGATCCGGCCACTGCACTCCAGCCTGGGCAACAGAGCGAGACTCCGTCTCAAAAAAAAAAAAAAAAAAAAATCTTTCCACCTTGGCCTCCCAAAGTGCTAAGATGCCACCACACCTTGCTTCAGGGTTTTTTGTTGTTGTTGCTGTGTTTTGTTTTGTTTTGTTTTGACACAGGGTCACTGTTACCCAGGCTGGAGTGCAGTGCTATGAACACAGCTAACTGTAGCCTCAACCTCCTGGGCTCAAACAATACTCCCATCTCAGCCTCCCTAGTAGCTGGGACCACAGGCATGCGCCAGCACACCACGATATTTTTTGTGGAGACAGGGTCTTGCCAAGTTGCCCAGGCTGGTCTTGAACTCCTGGCCTCAAGATCCTCCCACCTCAGCCTCCCAAAGTGCTGAGATTATAGGCATGAGTCACTGCACCTGGCCTGAGTCTTTTTTTTTTTTTTTTTACTTTTTTTTTGTGTGGTTCTTTCGCTCTGTCACCCAGGCTGGAGTGCGGTGGCGCGATCTCAGCTCACTGCTGCAACCTCTCCCGCCCGGGTTCAAGTGATTCGGCCTCAGTCTTCTTAATACCTCCATTCAAAAAAGGGGACAGAGACTGACAGTTTGTAATTTGTTCAAAGTCAGACAGCTGGAGTCAGGACTGCAGCACAGACAGGTACCAGAAGATGAGCTGGGACAATGTGTGCTTGTGACCGCCTCTCCAGCCAGTGGTTCCCGTGGTAGGTAGTGCTGTCCTTAACAGTTTGCCCTCCCTGAGCCCCAGCCATCCCTCTTGGGGTCTTTCCCAAGCACTTTAGGAGCTCCTCTTGATGCAGACACAAAATCTAGAGCTAAGTCGTTGTTCCTCTGTCTGCATCTGAGTCAATGTGGGAAATTTTTTCTTTATCTCATTGCTTTATTCTGCCCTGTTACTCCAGAGATTTCCACACTGGTTCCAGAGGAACCAGTCAGTAGACACTATTCTAAGAGAGTATGTGGGTGTGAAATCCCATTTTCCTTTTAGCTCCCTTAACTGTTATACAGCAAGTAAAAGAAGTCTTGGGTTGGCCGGGCAGAGTCACTCACACCTGTAATCCTAGCATTTTGGGAAGCCAAGGCAGGCGAATCACTTGAAGTCAGGAGTTCGAGACCAGCCTGGCCAACATGGTGAAACCCCGTCTCTACTAAAAATACGAAAATTAGCCAGGCGCGGTGGCAGACGTCTGTAATCCCAGCTACTTGGGAGGCTGGGGCAGGAGAATCGCTTGAACCTGGAGGCGGAGGTTGCAGTGAGCCAAGCACGAACCGTTGCACTCCAGCCTGGGCGACAAGAGTGAGACTGTCTCAAAAAAAAAAAAAAAAAAAAAAAATTGCTGAATGGTGGCAATTCAGGCAAGAAATGATGGTCCAGATCCTAGAACAGTCCCTAGAACACTAAATTGTTTGTTGATGCAATGAGTGTCCTGGAAGTCAAGGGACTGCAGAACATTTCCAGGAGGATCATTTCTTTCTTTCCTTTTTTTTTTTTTTTATTCTTTTGAGACAGAGTCTTGCTCTGTCATCTAGGCTGGAGTGCAGTGGCACAACATCAGCTCACTGCAACCTCTGCATCCCGGGTTCAAGCAATTCTCCTGCCTCAGCTTCCTGAATAGCTGGGACTACAGGTGCGCACCACCACACCCAGCTAATTTTTATATTTTTAGTAGAGACAGGGTTTCACCATATTGGCCAGGCTGGTCTCGAACTCCTGACCTCGTGATCCACCTGCCTCAGCCTCCCAAAGTGCTGGGATTACAGGCATGAGCCACCGCACCTGGCCAGATATTTGTTTTTTTAAATATGAGTTCTCTGTCACCCAAGCTGGAGTGCAGTGGCATAATCATAGCTCACTGCATCCTCTTAACTCCCATGCTCAAGAGATCCTCCCACCTCAGCCTTCCTAGCAGCTGGGACTACAGGGCCAGCCACCTAGCCTGGCTGATTCTATGAAATATTTTGAGGAGATGAGGAAGGGTGGTATCTTTCAAAGTTCAAAGTGATTTTGGAATATAAACAATTGCTTTGGGTTGAATTACATAGAAGTTTATCATTAACCTATGTTCCTGAACTATGAAACATGAATATGTGGGCAAAGAAATAGTTTATCTTGATAGACAATAACAACAAAAACAAAGTCTATGGATTAGAGAATGTCCATGCCTTTTTAGGCTGGACGCAGTGGTTCATGCCTGTAATCCCACCACTTTGGGAAGCCAAGGTGGGCAGGTCACTTGAGGCCAGGAGTTCAAGATCAGCCTGGCCAACATGGCAAAACCCCATCTCTACAAAAAATACAAAAATTAGCCAGGCATGGTAGTGGGCACCTGTAGCTCCAGCAACTTGGGAGGCTGAAGTGGGAGGATTGAGCCTGGGAGGCTAAGTAAAGTTGCAGTGAGCTGCGATCACACCACTGCACTCCAGCCTGGGCTACAAAGCAAGACTCTGTCTCAAAAAAATAAAATAATAATACTTTTTTAAAAGTTCATGTATTTTTAAGTGTTCTCTAGATTTAGCCACACAGTATAATTTTAGGGTGACAAGTTGAGCTGAGTTGGGTGGAGGTGGTGAGCAGAAATCAAAGTGGGTGGATGTCAGGAAGAGAAGGTGGCAGTGAAGGAGCACTGTGATAAGGAGGTTTTGTTATTCCTCAATGGAGCTATCTCAGTCCACCAGAGGGAAAGCCTTGAAAGGCACATGGCCTTACGATGGCTGTCACTCTTTTTTTTTTTTTTTTTTTTGAGACGAAATCTGGCTCTGTCGCCCAGGCTGGAGTGCACTGCAAGCTCCGCCTCCCGGGTTTACGCCATTCTCCTGCCTCAGCCTCCCGAGCAGCTGGGACTACAGGCACCCACCACCTCGCCCGGCTAGTTTTTGTATTTTTTAGTAGAGACGGGGTTTCACCGTGTTAGCCAGGATGGTCTTGATTTCCTGACCTCGTGATCCGCTCGTCTCGGCCTCCCAAAGTGCTGGGATTACAGGCTTGAGCCACTGCGCCCGGCCAGCTGTCACTCTTGAATGCATAGGCTGTTCTAGCTAAACTTAAGAGTTATTAAAGAATTGAGCCCGGTGTGGTGACGCGCTCCTGTAGTCACAGCTACTGGGGAGGCTGAGGCAGGAGGATTGCTTGAGCTTAGGAGGTCCCGGCTGCAGTGAGCTATGATAGTGCATTCCACTGCACTCCAGCCTGGGTGACACAGCAAGACCCCATCTCAAAAAAAAAAAAAAAAAAAAGAATTGAGGGAAGGCAAACAGCTCTTTGGCCTGATCATACGCTTGGCCAAATTCCTTGACCCGGGGTTTAGGGAAAGATGGGAGTGCAGTGAGAACTGGCTACGAAGCGGGAGGGCTGCAAGTCCCATGATGCACCGGAGGAATCTGGCCTCGAAGCTGGCCAGCTCCAAAGGGCAAATGCTGTTACCGCCCCGCCCAAGGTGGCCTCGGCCGGCGCCCAAGTAGGTGTGGCTGCGGGGAGGCCCCGCCCCCAGAACGCTTCTCCAATGGGGGCTGCCCTCGTGTCCATGGCAACGGCGGCGGCCACTGGCTTGCTTAAGGAAGCGCTGCTCCTGCTGCGGCCGCCACGGCCGCCGGGAGCTAGGAGTGAACCCCTGCGGGGGAGGAGGTTCCCCCTCGCGATCGTGGGGACAGCCAGTCCTGTGAAACGAGGAGGCGGTTCCGGACGCCCAGAAACGCCCAGGGAGAACTGGAGCCGGGGGAAGAGGGGACATGAGCGGCCAGCTGAGTGCAGCCCCAGGCCGCTAGGGGCGGACCCAGCAGTCCCTCAGCTCTCCTCGGAACCATGGGTGGGCAGTCTCCACTGTCACAGCCCAAAGGGTCTTAGCCATCGGGTGCCTGTCCCTAATGTGTACACGTGCAGAAAATGAGTCCTGGGACAGGGAAAGGGCCAGCGTAGGGGGCTTTTGGTCCTCAGCTGTATTTTATTTTATTTATTTATTTATTTATTTAAAGACTCTTGCTCTGTCGCCCAGGCTGGAGTGCAGTGGTGTGATTTCGGCTCACTGCAACCTCCACCTGCCAAATTCAAGTGATTCTGTTGCCTCAGCCTCCCGAGTAGCTGGGACTACAGGCAACGCACCACCACGCCCAGCTAATTTTTGTATTTTTAGGAAAGACTAGGTTTCGCCATGTTGATCAGGTTGGTCTCCAACTCCTGACCTCAAGTGATCTACCCGCCTCAGCCTCCCAACGTGCTGGGATTACAGGCGTGACCTACTGCGCCCGGCCTTCAGCTGTATTGTATTGTATTGTATTGTATTGTATTGTATTGTATTGTATTGTATTGTATTGTATTGTATTTTTTTGAGATGGGGTCTCGCTCTGTTGCCCAGGCTGGAGTGCAGTGGCGCGATCTCGGCTCACTGCAACCTCTGCTTCCCGGGTTCAAGCTATTCTCCTGCCTCACCCTTCCCAGTAGCTGGGACTACAGGCACGTGCCACCATGCCCAGCTAATGTTTTGCATTTTTAGTAGAGACGGGGTTTCACCGTGCTAGCCAGGATGGTCTCCATCTCCTGACCTCGTGATCCACCCACCTCAGCCTACCAAAGTGCTGGGATTACAGGCATGAGCCACCGCGCCTGGCCGATTCAGCTGTATTTTCAAGCGAAGGTCCCCCCAGCACTCCCAGCCATCCTCTTTCCCAATCAGGTACAAAAGAGCCATGGTCATGGCCTGTACCATCTGTGTCCAACTACTGAAGGCACCTCTGTGCATTGTATGATCCAGTGTGATCCTGGATGATTGGGGCTTGTCATCAGGGAGTCCACATCTCACTGGTATCTTCCACTCCCATGCACCTCCACCTACCTGGACACATCCCATTCCTCAGTGAAACTGTTTTGTCCTGAAGGGGCAGCAACATTCCTTTAAAACAGCATGAAGGTCATTCTGGTGGATTCCTTCAGGCCTTCTAGGGCCTGAGGGAGGTCTGATATACACTTCATTCCCACCTCCCAACCCCTCAGAATCTGAGAGAATGGAGCCGAGTACCTGTAGGACCAGCAAATCAGAGGAAGACTATGTTGAGGAAAAGGAATCTGAGAAATGTGTTAAAGAGGAAGCTACCATCCCCTCTAACTCTTCACAGCAGGCTCTCTTAAAAGCTGACTATAAGGCATTTAAAAATGGGGTTCCCTCACCCATTATAGCCACAAAAATTCCGAAGAAAGTCATAGTCCCAGTTGACACAGGCGACTTAGAAGCTGGGAGGAGGAAGAGAAGGCGGAAACGCAGGTAACTATTCCCTAGATCCCCTCAACTGCCCAGCTCCAGGGAGTCACCCATTGGTCTCCCTTCAACATTTGGGGGAGCTGGGATCTAAGATCTTCCCTTTAGCCTATAAAAGAGGACAGGAAATGCTGGAGCATCATTAACCCTTTGATACAACAGAAACAAAATTCAGAACTATTTAGGCTGGTTCATTTTGGAATCCCAGCCTGTTTATATCATCCTGGTCTTTCTTTTAAGCGGCTTCTAGAGAAAAAGAATTGTGTTGTGAATTTGTTGGATGTCTCTTCGTCTGGGTGCCTGTCCTTCCCTCCCACTCTGCCTGATTTATGCTATTCCTCCATTCTAGATCCCTGGCCATCAACCTGACCAACTGCAAGTATGAGAGTGGTAAGAACCCAGCCCGTCACTCACACTATGGCACATAACAGGGTGCCTACAGCTGCTGCTCTTCTTCTGGAATGGACCCCCGATCAGGCTTCCAGCCCCTGGGGGCTGGCAGGCTTGCCTATAACCTGTACTGAGCTTCCTAGGTGTCCTCTGCCTCAGACACTGGCAGCTGAGACATTGCTGTTCCAGGCAGTCTCAGTGTTAGGGAGGGTATCTTCACAGTAAACAAGAAAAAAAAAAAAAAGTCCAAGAGCCACCACTCACCACTGCCCACCCTTCCCAGATTCTATTTGTTTATTTTTGAGACACAGTCTTGCTTTGTCATCCAGGCTGGAGTGCAGTATTGCAATCATAGCTTAATGCAGCTTTGAACACCTGAGCTCAAAGCCATCTTCCTACCTGAGCTTCCCAGTAGCTGGGCCTACAGGCCTGCACCACTATGCTCAGCTAACTCTTTTTATTTATTTATTTATTTATTTATTTATTTATTTATTTATTTATTTTTGAGACCAAGTTTCACTCTTGTTGCCCAGGCTGGAATGCTATGGTGTGATCTCAGCTCACTGCAACTTCCACCTCCCAGATTCAAGTGATTTTCCTGCCTCAGCCTCCCAAGTAGCTGGGATTACAGGCATGTGCCACCACACCTAATTTTGTACTTCTAGGAGAGACGGGGTTTCTCCATGTTGGCCAGGATGGTCTCGAACTCCTGACCTCAGGTGATCCACCCACCTCGGCCTCCCAAAGTGCCGGGTTTACAGGCGTGAGCCACCGTGCCCAGCCTGCCCATCTAATTCTTAAATGTTTTGTAGAGACAGAGTCTTGCTATGTTGCCCAGGCTGGTCTTGAACTCCTGGGCTCAAGTGATCCTCCAACTTCAGCTTCTCAAAGACCTGGCATAACAGGCAGGAGCCACCATGCCAGACCCTTCCCAGATTTTACCAGTGATGAGACAAGCTTAAAAGTTTTTTCAAGGAAGATTTGAAGAGACTTCAACAATTAAGAAAAAAAGAAAATCTCCAGCTAGGTCCTTCCCCTAATATTCCCTCTGGCATCTTTATAAGGAGCCACCCAAGTGTGGAATATGAAGTGCCAGTGTGGCCCCTACCTATAGGCGGCTCTCCAAGCCACAAACATCCCTGATTGAGGGATAAGACTGACAGGAGCAGCCAGGCACGGTGGCCCACGCCTGTAATCCCAACACTTTGGGATACCAAGGCGGGCGAATCTCCTGAGGTCAGGAGTTCAAGACCAGCCTGGCCAACATGGTAAAACCGCGTCTCTACTAAAAATACAAAAATTTCCCAGGTGTGTTAGTGGGCTCCTGTAGTCCCAGCTATTGGGGAGGCTGAAGCATGAGAATCGCTTGAACCTGGGAGGCGGAGGTTGCAGTGAGCAGAGACGGCGCCATTGCACTCCAGCCTGGGCAACAAGGGAGAAACTCTGTCTCAAAAAAACAAACAGAAAACCAGGTTCTAGTTTTCTCTGCTAGGTATTTTGGAAGGGCCCAAACAGCCCCTAAGAACTTGAAATTGCCATGTGGTAACTAAAGTATGGGGCTGAGGCGAGAACTACCTCCCTCTTCAACCTGCCCTCAGGTCAGGTGTATACCTTACCTGACCCAGCTACACAGTTCCAGGGCTAGTTGCTGGTGTCCATGCTGGCACCACTGATCTCCCTGTCTCTGCAGTGCGTCGGGCAGCCCAAATGTGTGGCCTGAAGGAGGTGGGGGAGGATGAAGAATGGACTCTGTACTGGACAGACTGCTCTGTCTCGCTGGAACGAGTCATGGACATGAAGAGGTTTCAGGTACCCATCTCCTGGCCTGAGAGCCTACAGGGGCTAGGGCCCCAGAATGACTTTTCCCACCTCCTTGCCCAGGCACCCAAGACTGCTACTCTTTGTGGCTGTCCCCTTGTGCAGACAGGAAAGAGCACCCCCAGGGTCTTCTTTTCCAATAGAAAGATCTCCTCTTGGAGATCTTGGGTTTCCAGAATTACCGGAAGGAAGTGTCTGGTGGGCACATCCTATCTCATTATTTGTGCTTTGCTTGGTGGCATCTGTGTGTAGCTGGCCCTCTCCAGGGTGGGTGAGCTCATCTTAGGGAGAATAATGGGAGGCAGCTTCAGAGCTAACAGCAGGGCCAGCTGAATGATCCAGACTTCTAAGCAACTTAGCTTAACATTCCACATCCATTAGGAGACTGCAGGATCCTGCCTGGTGGCAAGAAATTCAGGAATGATCCACTGGGGTCCACAAGAATAGAACTGCCTTGTGATATTTTTATTATCCTCTAATTGGGTGTTTGTGGTGATCAGCAATAAAATAATTTAAAAGGGTCTGCAGGCTTATTCTTTGGGGAAGCCAGGCAGGAAGTTGAGGAAATTAAAACCTGTCCCACGACTAGTCTTGGGAGAGGTGCCCAAGAGAGAAAGCAAGTGCTAGAAGTTCTCAAGAAGCTCCAAAGGAGGTTGGGCGTGGTGGCTTACACCTGTAATCTCACCACTTTGGGAGGCCGAGGCGGGTGGATCACTTCAGGTCAGGAGTTCACTTGAACCCAGAAAGTGGAGGTTGCAATGAGCAGAGATCATGCCACTACACTCCAGCCTGGGTGAGTGACAGAGTGAGACCCTGTTTTAAAAATAAAAAAACAAGGCCGGGCATGGTGGCTCACGCCTGTAATCCTAACACTTTGGGAGGCCGAGGCAGGCTGATCACGAGGTCAGGAGTTCAAGACCAGCCTGACCAACATGGTAAAACCCCATCTCTACTAAAAATACAAAAATTAGCCAGGTGTGGTGGCACACACTTGTAATCCCAGCTACTTAGGAGGCTGAGGCAGGAGGATCGCTTGAACCTGGGAGGAGGAGATTGCAGTGAGCCAAGATTGCATCATTGCACTCCAGCCTGGGCAACAGAGCGAGACTCCATCTCAAAAAAAAAAAAAAAAAAAAAAGTTCCAAAGGAGAGGCATTTGTAAAATGAGGATAGCAGGCTGGGTACAATGGCTCATGCCTAAAATCCCTTTGGGAAGCCAAAGTGGGCAGGTTGCTTGAACTCAGGACTTTGAGACCAGCAACAGTCTCTACCAAAAATACAAAAAGAATAAAAAAATTAGCCAGGCATGGTGGTGCATGACTTTAGTCCCAGCTATTTGGGAGTCTGAGGCATGAGGATCTCTTGAGCCTGGGAGGCAGAGGCTGCAGTGAGCTGAGATCACACCACTGCATTCCAGCTTGGGCGACAGAGGGAGACCCTGTCTCAGGGAAGGGGAAAAAAAAAACAAAATGGGATGAGGATAACAATTATTAGCAGCATTCATTGAGGACTTACTGTACAACAGACCCTGTGTTAAATGCTTTTATATTATTAGCCCATTAAATCCTCAAGAACAGCCCTGAGCAGCAGATATCCCTTGGTTGGGACATGGAGAGTGAGAAATACTAAGTTCATACAGTGAGTGCAGCCAGTGATTGGGAAAGCCAGTGAGAGAGCACTTTGTGATTGTCCCCCTGTGCAGACAGGAAAGACCACCCCCAGGGTATTCTTTTCCAATGGAAAGATTCTCCTCCTGGGTCTCTGGAATTACCTGAAGGAAGTGTCTGGGGGGCACATCCTATTTCATTATTTGTTCTTTGCTTGGTGGCATGCCAGATGCTGCCACCCACCTGGCAGGACAGAGCAGCCAGGGGTTTCTGGTAGGCACCAGGGCGATGCCACACCCTCTGTGGGTGCCATGGCACCACATTCCTTGGGGCTGGTTCTTAGTTTCCTTTTCTCTTTTGTGTCTTTTGGGAAATGCTTTCGTCTCATTGTCTTCTTTGTGCTATCATGCATTAGTTATTGTTAGAGGACTAGGCCTGGGGGTCTGAGGGATGTTAGAAGGTGGACTTTGGAAGCCACAGTCTTGGCTAGGTACATCCTTTCTCACTGCCCCTCATTTGCTGAGCTCAGTGTGGATGTGTGTGTTGGGTAGGAGTCACAGAAGGTTTTCTCATCTGCCTTAAGGAATCTTCCTATTTTTGCCCTTGGGGTCCTCGGTGCAGTGCCTACCTCCACTGTGACTTCTCCCTTAACCTTCCCAATCCTCCTCCACTGCTTCCTGGGATGCCCAGGTGCTCGGAACTGCCACTTACTCTGGGGGCTCGTACTAACTGGCTGTGTTTCAGAAAATCAACCACTTCCCTGGCATGACAGAAATCTGCCGCAAAGATCTGCTGGCTCGGAACCTCAACCGCATGCACAAACTCTATCCCTCTGAATACAACATCTTCCCCCGCACCTGGTGCCTCCCCGCAGAGTGAGTGGGTCTGGCTTCCCATGCTGAGATACCAGGGGGAGGAAAAGGGTCATTCTCAGAGTTTCCTCCAGGCTCTGGTCTTGTGACCTAGGAATGTCTCAGAGGGATGGAAGTGGAACGAAAAAGTTTCAGCTGGTCCAAGAAAAGAGGGTCTGAGACTGAGTGTTCCAGGAAGAGCATGGACTAGATAGCAGGAAGAGCTCCATGGGGCCGTGGGAAACCCATGATACACAGAAACCTTTTGACCAGGCCTTCTCTACACATAGCTACGGGGACTTCCAGTCCTACGGTCGTCAGCGAAAAGCCCGCACGTATATCTGCAAGCCAGACAGTGGCTGTCAGGGACGTGGCATCTTCATTACCCGAAATCCCCGGGAGATCAAGCCAGGAGAGCATATGATCTGCCAGCAATACATCTCCAAGGTGAAGGATGCCTCAGGACCATCAGCCTTCCCCAACACTAAGCACTGGGCTGCCTCGTCTCTCCCAAAAGCCAGGAAGGAAGCTGGTCTTAGGCTTCTACCCTTCCCACTAGCCCCTTTTTCCTGGAAGCAGTATTCAGCCATGGTTCAGAACCAGCCTGCCTGGGGCTGAATCTCAGCTTTCCACTTCCCAGATAAGTGACCTTGGGCAAGTTTCTTACCCTCTCTGTGCCTCTGTCTCTTTATTGATTGATTGAGACAGAGTCTCGCTGTGTTGCCCAGGCTGGAGTGCTGTGGCACGATCTTGGCTCACTGCAGCCTCCACCTCCCAGGTTCAAGCAATTCTTTGCCTCAGCCTCCCAAGTAGCTGGGATTACAGGCACCCACCACCACGCCCAGCTAATTTTTGTATTTTTAGTAGACACGGGGTTTCACCATCTTGGCCAGGCTGGTCTTGAACTCCTCACCCCGTGATCCACCCTCCTCAGCCTCTCAAAGTGCTGGGATTATAGGCATGAGCCACCGCACCTGGCCTCTCCTCATTTATTAAGTGGGAGTAATAACAGTAACTACTTTACATGGTTATTGTGGAAATTTAATGAGCTGTGTATGTGAAGCACTTACAACAGCTCATAGTAGGCACTTCAAACACGTTATTATTCCCTCATGGGTTTGCGTGCTACCAGCCCTTCCTCATTGATGGCTTCAAGTTTGATATGCGAATCTACGTCCTAATCACATCCTGTGACCCTCTCCGGATCTTCATGTATGAGGAGGGCCTGGCCCGTTTTGCCACCACGCCCTATGTGGAGCCCAGCCATAACAACCTGGTAAGGGGACTGGGAAGCACTCTTCTTTTCCACTACTATGAGTGCTGAGGTTCTCCAGAGAAACATGGTAGAGAGGTTTGTCACTGTCACCAAAGAACAAGGAATGAGGTCAGCAAGAGCTGCAGTATCTAGCTGGGAGGCAAGTGTTTGGTAGGTGGTAAATGAGAAAAGGTCAGCACCTGGAGGAGCCCAGCACACCCTCTGCCCCAGGATCGTCCATAATAGCAGTCCTCTGATGGAGAGAGACAGGAGACAAGAGATCCTTGGGAGGGTTGGGGAGTAAGAAGGCAATGAAGGGCTGGAGAGGACAGCCACATGCAGTCTGAGACCACAGGGCCACTCTCTCTCTGCAGGACAATGTCTGCATGCACCTGACCAACTATGCTATCAACAAACACAATGAGAATTTTGTCCGGGATGGTGCTGTGGGCAGTAAGAGGTACTCGCTACTCTGTTTTCTCCTGCTTCCTCTGCCGCTTAGCCCCATAGTCCCAGTAGCCCATGAAACCGAGCTGGCTCTTGGGAGGCTAATTGCCCAGGGAAACTCAGCCTTTATAGACCCTGTCCTGTGCCTGCACTTTGGAGCTCTAAGTGCAGCCCCAAACCCCACCCTGGTAAGTAGTCCCTGCTCCAAACTGCTAGCAGCCCTTCAAAGCCCAGGCATGCAATTAGGGTTAGTGTGAGGGAGCCTCCTGCCTACAGCCTGGCCCCAGTGGCCTAGAAACTGGCCTTCCTCTGAGCACTGGGCCTCGCAGGAAGCTGTCGACACTCAACATCTGGCTGCAAGAGCACAGCTACAACCCTGGAGAGCTGTGGGGGGACATCGAGGACATCATCATCAAAACCATCATCTCAGCCCATTCTGTTCTACGCCACAACTACCGAACCTGTTTTCCCCAGTATCTGAATGGAGGTACATGTGCCTGTTTTGAGATCCTTGGTTTTGACATCTTGCTGGACCACAAGTTGAAGCCCTGGCTACTAGAGGTGAGGATTATCTCCTAGGCTTTGCAAAACCAAGGTCCAGAGGCCTCCTTGAATAGGACACCTGGGACAGGGGTATACTCAGGTGGTGGAACACAGAATGGGAGATGTGAAAGCCCTGGGGTGGGTGGGAATCAGCAGAAGGCATAAGATCTCTACCCTTTTGACCTGCTGAGTCAAATCTTGGGGGTTTTTGGCCTCTACCATAGGAATGCAGGTTTGGGATCCCCAGTGCCCTAATGTAAGTTTTTAGGGACACACTATCTTGAGAGGCAGGCCAGCTGATTTGCTCTCACTGGTCTATGAATTGGAGATCTCTATGGCAGAGTTTTGTGGCCTTGGAAGTCAGAGCATCCAGCCTCCCTGGCTGAGGCCATGGGAGAGGAATATCTCAGACCCTCTAGTTATGCCTGCAAGAGGCCACCACCTGCTCAGGTGGTAGGGGAAAAGGGTGTATAATGACTCTTCCTGGCAGGTAAACCATTCTCCAAGCTTTACCACTGACTCACGCCTTGATCAAGAGGTAAAGGATGCACTTCTCTGTGATGCTATGACCCTTGTCAACCTCCGGGGCTGTGACAAACGGAAGGTGATGGAGGAGGATAAGCGGCGAATCAAGGAACGGCTTTTCCAGTGCTACCAACAGCCACGAGAATCGAGGTGTGCTAGGTGTCTGGCATGTGTTTAGTTCTTCATTATTCCTGAGACTAAAAGTCCTCCTTTAGATGGAGAATGTGGCCTGGGGCTGATTTGCTATCAAAAACAACTTTTTGCATAGATAATATGTTCATATTTGCATTTAAAAAATCTCAGGGCCAGGCTTGGTGGCTCATATCTGTAATCTCAGCATTTTGGGAGGCCGAGGCAAGAGGATTGCTTGAGCCCTGGAGTTCAAGACCAGACTGGGCAACATGTGAGACTCTGTACCTAAAACACAAAAAAGAAACAAAAGAATAATAATTTAAAAATTAAAAAATTAGCTGGGCATGGTGGCGTGCCTGTATTCCCAGCTACTCAGGAGTCTGAGGTGGGAGAATTACTTGAGCCCAGGAGGTCAAGACTGCAGTGAGCCGTGTTTGCACCACTGCACTCCAGCCTGGGTGACACAATGAGACCTGGTCTCAAAAAAAAAAAAAAAAAAAAAAAAAAAATCATGTATCATAGATATGTTCAAAATTTAAAAAATACAGGGGATAGTCTTTCTCCTCCCCTTCTCCTCCAGGTACTCAGTTTTACTCTCTGGAGTCAATCAACATTCCTACTATCATGTGTATATAGTAAGCATTTAATGTATATGTATTTATACAAAATATTTTTCTCCCTGCCTACCCAGACAGAGGCATAACTTTCACACTGTCTGCATCCTGGTTAGCAATGTATTTTAGAACCATTCCCATGTTAGCACATAATGAGCTTTCTGTGGTTTGATTAGCTGGTTTGTTTTTCTAACAAAGCTCCTTTAGAAACCAGTTCCTGAGAAACTTTGTAACAAAGAAACACAGAAAACAGTTTAGTCATTCAATAATAGAGAATCATTTACATCTGTGTTGGTTACCCATTGTTGTTTTCTTTGTAAAATGAGTTACAAACATGGTAACTGGTTACCAATACTAAAATTGTAATTTGTTAATGATACATACAAAGGAATTTGAGTAGCTGTATGTTACCACTATGATCACATTGCTGTTCCCACTTGCATTCCAATATGCAGGGGGCAGTGTGTGTTTGATTCCCCATGACAGCCACAGGGCCTGGGACACCGTAAGCACTCAGATGTCTGCGTGATGAATGGGAGTGAAGTAGAACTGTAAATATACTGGCTATTCCCACAAGACTGGACTGTGTACCTGAGGGTCATGAAATGTGTCTTTCAATAAGGAAAAATGGTTGAACAGTACTGGACTAAATAAACAAAATACAATCGTACACTACAGTACTAGGCAGCCATTTAAAAATATTGTTGTGGCCAGGTGTGGTGGCTCATGCCTGTAATCCCAGCACTTTGGGAAGCCGAGGTGGGTGGATCACTTGAGCTCACGAGTTTGAGACCAGTCTGGGCAACATGCAAAACCCTGTCTCTACAAAACATACAAAAATTAGCCAGACATGGTGGTGCACGCCTGTGGTCCCAGCTGCTCAGGAGGCTGAGGTGAGAGGATGGCTTGAGCCTGGTAGGCCGAGGTTATAGTGAACTGAGACTGCATCACTGCACTCCAGCCTGGCGATAGAGTGAGACCTTGTTTCAAAAAATTAAATTAAAAAATAAAATAGGCCGGGCGCGGTGGCTCAAGCCTGTAATCCCAGCACTTTGGGAGGCCGAGACGGGCAGATCACGAGGTCAGGAGATCGAGACCATCCTGGCTAACACAGTGAAACCCCGTCTCTACTAAAAACACAAAAAACTAGCCGGGCGAGGTGGCGGGTGCCTGTAGTCCCCGCTACTCGGGAGGCTGAGGCAGGAGAATGGCGTAAACCCGGGAGGCGGAGCTTGCAGTGAGCTGAGATCCGGCCACTGCACTCCAGCCCGGGCGACAGAGCAAGACTCCGTCTCAAAAAAAAATAAAAATAAAAATAAAAAAAATAAAATAAAATAAAAATATTGTTGTATTATTTCATTTTCATTTAAAGAAAGCAAGCAAGCGGTCAGGCACAGTGACTCATGCCTGTAATCTCAGCCCTTTGGGAGGCCAAGGCGGGCAAATCAGGAGGTCAAGAGATCGAGACCATCCTGGTCAAAATGGTGAAACCCCATCTCTACTAAAAATACAAAAATTAGCTGGGCGTGGTGGTGTATGCCTGTAGTACCAGCTACTCAGGAGGCTGAGGCAGAAGAATTGCTTGAACCCAGGAAGCGGAGGTTGCAGTGAGCTGAGATTGTGCCACTGCACTCCAGCCTGGACAACAGAGCAAGACTCTGTCTCAAAAAAAAAAAAAAAAAAAAAAATGGAAGGACGGACGGACAGATGGACGCACAAGCTAGTGAGTGGCAGAGCCAGGATTCAAAGTCAGGAGGTCCTGCCGTAGATCCATGCTCATAATCAACAGGCTAATTGCATAGTAAGATTATGGGAGACTTTATCTTCTTTCTACTCTTCTAAATTTTCTGTAATGAACATATATTACTTTTTTATTTTTCTTTTCTTTTTTATTTGAGACTAGTCTCACTCTGTCATCTAGGCTGGAGTGCAGTGCCGCGATCTTGGCTCATTGCAACTTCCACCTCCTGGGTTCAAAAAATTTTCCTGCCTCAGCCTCCCAAGTAACTGGGACTACAGGCACACACCACCATGCCCAGATAATTTTTGTATTTTTAGTAGAAACAGGGTTTCACTATGTTGACCAGGCTGGTCTTGAATTCCCAACTTCAAGTGATCCACCTGCCTTGGCCTCCCAAAGTGCTGGAATTACAGGTGTGAGCCACCATGCCTGGCCACTTTTTTTTTTTTTCCAAATGGAAAACTTATATCAAAACATATGTTACTTTTACAATCAGAAACCTAAAAGACTATGATAATGGAGTGCTAGCTTACAAGTAGACTCCTCTCCACTTAAGATGAAAATCAGGCCGAGTACAGTGGCTGATGCCTATAATCCCAGCACTTTGGGAGGCCGAGGTGGGTGCATCACTTGATGTCCAGCCTTGCCAACATTGTGAAACCCTGTCTCTGCTAAAAATACAAAAATTGGCCAGGCATGGTGGTGCATGCCTGTAATCCCAGCTACTTGGGAGGCTGAGGCAGGAGAACTGCTTAAACCTAGGAGGCAGAGGTTGTAGTGAGAGGAGATTGTGCCAGTGTACTCCAGCCTGGGCAACAGTGCAAGAACCTGTCTCAAAAAAGAAAAGAAAAGCAAATCAGATTTCTGGAAGTCAAGACTATTTTCTTTTTTTTTTTTTTCTCTTTTTTTTCTGTGAGACGGAGTCTCGCTCTGTCACCCAGGCTGGAGTGCGGTGGCGCAATCTCCGCTCACTGCAAGCTCCGCCTCCTGGGTTCACGCCATTCCCCTGTCTCAGCCTCCCGAGTAGCTGGGACCACAGGCACCCACCACCATGCCCGGCTAATTTTTTGTATTTTTAGTAGAGACGGGGTTTCACCATGTTAGCCAGGATAGTCTCGATCTCCTGACCTCGCGATCTGCCCGTCTCAGCCTCCCAAAGTGCTGGGATTACAGGCGTGAGCCACCGCACCCGGCCCAAGCCTATTTTCATGGCTACCCACATTTGGGGCTTGCCAAAGATGGGCTTGGCAGCTTTCCCTACTTGGGCATAGGCCCAGGAGGTCAAGAACCCAGCAGGAGGGGCTCCAAACCTTAGTCAGTCTTCCTTTCCCTACTGAACATTCCCACAGCTCTCCTCTGACTCACTTGAGCTTGCTTTCCACAGGAAAGAAAAAACTGAGTCATCCCATGTGGCAATGCTGGACCAGGAACAATATGAGGATTCTCACCTGGGAAAATACCGGCGGATCTACCCTGGGCCTGACACAGAGAAGTATGCCCGCTTCTTCAAGCACAATGGCTCCCTCTTCCAGGAGACTGCTGCTTCCAAGGCCAGAGAGGAGTGTGCCAGGTACTTTTGACCGACATTCTCCTCTGCACACCTAGGTGGGGACAAGTCCTGAAGCTGCATTGCTTCCCAGCAGTGGAAGAGGAAGTCAGACACTTGAGCAGAGGAATGGAGCTATAAATCCTATCAGACTCTTAGTGACTCTTTTCAGTTTAGTAGGTTTCCTGTCTTCCCCCATCATTGCTCTCCCATCAGTCCTAAGAACAGATTATAATTTCCTACTCTTTCCCCATCCTCATTTTTCCTCACCCCTCTTCTCCCCAACACCATTTCTCTAGTGTCTGAAGCTGCTGTGTCTTGTCAGGCAGCAACTGGAGGAGATCCGCCTTAAGCAGGAACAGCAGGAGACCTTGGGGAGTAAGAGGCAAAAGGCCAAGGACCAGAACCAGGGTGAATCAGCTGGGGAGAAAAGCCAACCCAGGGCAGGGCTCCGGAGCCATTCCACCCGCTTGGCTTACAGGAACCACAGCTGGGAGAAACAGGTGCCGGGAGTTTTGTGGCTCTTATCTTTCTGCGGGAAAATGGGTTGGGACAACTAGAGAGGGGAATGAATCTCTGCTGTCCTCTCCCCCCATGCACAAGAGAGATAGGAGTTCCTAATCAGTAAATTGAATCTGATCCTTTGGAAGATGAAGTGAGAGAATGGACAGCAAAAGGAACTGTCCTGGGTCAGGGAAGGGATGAGGGTAGAGTGGGCAGGAGGCCTGCAGCCATCCTGGGCGATGGTTTGGGCGATGATTTGGGACTCATCCTTGGAGATCCTGCATTTATCTCTCATGCACCTTGTAGCTGCTGCCGGGACAGCTGGACACCATGAGGCCTCAACAAATTGTGGAAGAGGAGGAGCTGGAGCGGATGAAGGCCCTGCTACAAAGGGAGACTCTCATCCGAAGCCTGGGTATTGTAGAGCAGCTCACCCGTCTGCAGCACCCTGGCCCCCAGGGCCAGAAAAAACTTCATGAGAGTCGGGTGAGGGTCCCTGTGAAGCCTCCCAGAGGAAAAGGGAACAAGGGCTGTCGTCCCAACACATGGTGGTGGTCTCAACAAAGGAGGCTTGTGTGATGGTATCTGTCAGTGGAGCCTGGGAAAGCAGAGTGCACTAGCTGGACCTTGGGAGAGGGTCTGTTGATTCCTTTTATGTCTGTTCCCAAGCTCCTTTGTTTTAGATATAACATCCAGCAAAGTGCAGCTCCAAACTTTCTCATTTACAGGAAACCTGCTCTCTATATTCCTGTCCCCAAATAACCCCACACTCATGACTGACAAATAACAAGGCCACCACCCTCAGTGGCTTCTGTATAATTTTCTCCCTAGCACTGTCAGTGCCCTGGCTCTAATGGGAGATAAGTAAACAGATTTGGGCCAACAAAAGAGCTGCCGCTTTCACTATTCCCTGGGCTAGTAGCAAACCTGTTGGGTTTACTGTTTTTGTTGAACCTCAAAGGAGTATCTGGTTAAATAGTGGCCATGGCCTAGAAGAGATTTTTTTTCAGTTACCTCCTTCGTCCAACGCTCCATCCAAACTCACATAAAAATGTGGTAAGGGGCTGCTCTTCTCCTCTAGCCTAGATTTCGTTAGGACAGGCTGGGCAGTCAGGAACTGAAACCTGTGAGTCTGGTTCTATTTGTGCTCCTAAGAGGGGCTGCCACAGAGCAGGGCCCTCCTCATTTGCTGCATCCAGTTCTGCCCCATAAATCGATCCCCAGGATCTTAGGGGCACTGCCAAGCATGAATGCTGTAATCCCACATGTTCCCCGGTGCCATCTGCAGCCCAAGAACTTCACCTGGACAGGAGAGCCAGCAGCCATCAACTCCTGTTCATTGTCAGTGAAGAAGGCTGGGAGGCGCTATTTTTCCAGTGCCAGAATCAGGCTGACTAGCCGTAAGTATGCAATACCATCTTTGGTCATTTTGACCTGTGTAAATCCCACTAGCAAGCATAGAGCTTGGATGCCCCCAAAATATAAGGCACTTCCACCGGTGTAAGAATGGGGAAGTTGCCGGGCGCGGTGGCTCAAGCCTGTAATCCCAGCACTTAGGGAGGCCGAGACGGGCGGATCACGAGGTCAGGAGATCGAGACCATCCTGGCTAACACGGTGAAACCCCGTCTCTACTAAAAATACAAAAAACTAGCCGGGCGAGGTGGCGGGCGCCTGTAGTCCCAGCTACTCCGGAGGCTGAGGCAGGAGAATGGCGTGAACCCGGGAGGCGGAGCTTGCAGTGAGCTGAGATCCGGCCACTGCACTCCAGCCCGGGCTACAGAGCAAGACTCCGTCTCAAAAAAAAAAAAAAAAAAAAAAAAAAAAAAAAAAAAAAAAAAAAAGAATGGGGAAGTTAGGGTACCCATTTATCTACTCCTTTCTGTTTTCTTTTCTTTTGTTTTTTTTTCCTGAGACAAGGTCACGCTCTGTCGCCCAGGCTGAAGTACAATGGCTTGATCTCACCTCACTGCAACCTCCGCTGACAGGCTCAAGTAATTCTCCTGCCTCAGCCTCCCGAGTAGCTGGGACTACAGGCACACACCACCATGCCTGACTAACTTTTGTATTTTTTGTTTTCGCCATTTAGCCCAGGCTGGTCTTGAACTCCTGAGCTCAGGTGATCCACCCGACTCAGCCTCCCAAAGTGCTAGGATTACAAGTGTGAGCCACCGCACCAGGCCTATTTAATCCTTTCTGTACACTAGACCCTGGTGATAGAAATGGCAGAAATACAGTCCTAGCACTCAACAGAGGTAACAGGAACATGGACAAGAAGACATACTATACCAATTACAATACAGTGTGGGAAAGACAGTGGAGGGAAGCATGGGATGCCCTTCCTCTGTGTTGGTAATCGGGCCACAGCTGGGAAAGAGGTGAGCCAATCTCTTCTGTGAGTACCAACTCAGGGACATCCATGTTTCCACTGCAGAAGGACAAGCCAGCAGAAGGCTAGAAGCCATAAACCGAGTCCTGGCAGGATCAGTGCCACCCACTTTAACCCCAAAGCAGGGCTATCTTCTGCAACCGGAAAGAGTGGCATCTGACTCATGGACTGAATGCACCTTGCCCTCCATGGTAAACTCTGAACACAGAACAGCCAAGGTTTCCCTCTGCCCTGCGTCTGCACCCGTGCTGCAGCGTTCCAGAGCACTCCTCAACATCAATCAGTTCAGGTAAAAGCAGGAGGGAAGCACTCTACCTCTCCTGGAGAACCTCCCCAGGTTTCCAAAGGGTTTCCAAAGGGCATTCAATCTTTGCTAAATGAAAGACTGCCACCAAGTTCCTCTTTGAAAAGCCCTGCCCAGGAACCCCATTTGTAAAAGGCAAAATATAAAGACACCAAGAATTCCTCAATACCCTGAGATTAACTGGGGATCAGTAAAGACTAGAAGATGAAGAGGCGCCAAGGCCAGCCATGTACTCATTTCTGCTCATCAAGCCTTAGCCTGGGTTTATCGCTAGGTGATGGGTCTGAACCCTAGGTGCGGCCCCGGGCTGGAGGTCATCCAGGAGACAAAGATCCCCTTTCCCAGAGGAGCCGAGTGCCCAAGGCACTGGGCTGTCGCCGTCAGAAGACTGCCGAGCGGAAGCCCTGCCCACCAAGGTGGCGGAGACAGGCAGGCCTGGGGAGTCGCTGGGGCGGAGGGACGGCTCTTGGAAACTGAATCCGTACTTTAATTAAAATTTATGCAGTTTTCCAGGAGCGTCCTGTACCTCATTTCGGCCCTCACGTTTCAGCCAAGCCCTCTCCACAGCTACAGCCAGGAAGGGTGGGCCACTGAGCAGCATGAGCCCAGATCTTACGCCCACCAAGAGGGAAATGCTTGCTACTACCCAGCTTCCGGCCCGCCCCTTCCACTTCCGGCCTTACCCGACTACTTCCGCTGCTGTTTCGTAGCCGACTGCTGAAGGCTGGTTTGCGTCGACATGGCGGTTTCCCTGAGTGTCTTGCTGGGGGGGCGCGTTTGCGCTGCCGTCGCTCGCTGTGGGTTCGCGACCCGTGGGGTGGCGGGCCCAGGCCCTATCGGCCGGGAGCCGGACCCCGATTCCGACTGGGAGCCGGAGGAACGGGAGCTGCAGGAGGTGGAGAGGTACCGGCTTCTCCTCGGGCCCTCACCTTGAAGCTGGGCCTCGCGCCCCGGCGCCCCAGGCCTCGCCCCCTTGGCGCCGGGTGTCCTGCCGCTGCTTGCGCAGCGGCCCTTGTTTCCTCTTACCCGTTGTTAGTCGCGCAGCGTGAGGTGTTCAGCTCCCCAGGGACGACTGGTCCCTTCATTAGTGACGTATTTCATCATTAGTTTAGAGAGTTCGGCATGCTTACAGGCAGTTATTGTTCTAGGTGTTAGCTTTATGGGTGTACAGAGCAGCTCTAAGCCGGCAACACGGCCCGGTTGCCCTTGCGATCAAAGAGAAGAGGGCTGGGCGCTCCATGATTTAGCCTGAGGCTCTTCAAACATCCATTCTGCTTCCACGCATGGCTTCTGCCATTGGTTCTCTTCCCCCAGCACCCTGAAAAGACAGAAAAAAGCAATCCGATTCCAGAAAATTCGGAGGCAAATGGAGGCGCCTGGTGCCCCGCCCAGAACCCTGACTCGGGAAGCCATGGAGCAGATCCGGTAAGACTCAGGGTACCTTGTTTGTGTCTGCTGTGACAAGAAATGAAGGATACTGGAGCCCAGAGCACGGGTTTGGCTTATTTGATACTGCTTTTATATTTTCATTTATTTTTTAATATTGAAATTTATTATCAGAAAAGTAGAGTAATATAACGAACTTCCCTAAACCTGTCATCATCTAGATTTAATAGTGTATTGTTTTGTTTTTTAAAGACACGTGGTTTCCGCCATCACCTCGAACTCCTGACGTGAAGTGATTCGCCTGCCTCTGCCTCCCAGAGTGCTGGGATTACAGGCATGAGCCACTGCGCCCTGCCTGGGTTTAGTAGTTTTTAACGTTATGACGTGGTTGTTTCATTTTTGCTGAAGTTTCTAAATAGTAAATTGCAGACATCACAACATTTAACCCCTGCATGTAGATCATGACGTTCCCAACCTAAGGTACAGGGATGCTGGTGCTTCCATAGTTAGGTGGATTTTTCTGAAGAGAGGATCTATAATTTAGGAAAGCTTAAAAGAGATTTTAAGTTTTTTTGTTTTGAGTAGGTAACGTGTTACATATGGCTCAACATCCTAACAGTATAACATGGTATACGCATTGAGAATTATTTGTCCCACCCACTCTCCTGTGGGTACTGTTTTTTTTTTTTTTTTTTTGGTAAATGGGGGTCTCACTCTGTCGCCAAGGCTGGAGTACAATGGTGTGATCACAGGTCACTGCAGCCTCTACTTTCTGGGCCCAAGCAATCCTCCCACTTCAGCCTCCCAAGTAGCTAGGACTACAGGTGCATGCCACCATGCCTAGTTAATTTTATTTTTTGTAGAGACAGTCTCATCATGTTGCCCATGCTGGTCTACAATTCCAGGGCTCAAGCGATCGTCCCACCTCAGCCTTCTAAAGTGTTGGGATTACAGGCATGAGCCACTGTTTGCAGCTGTACTATTTTTAATAGTTTTTCTCTACCAAAATCCAGGCTCCATGCCCTGAGCGAGCCACTGTGCCTGGCCCTCAATTCTTTTTTATAGATGGTGTTAATATATTTTTTTGAGGCAGTATATGACAGTGGTTTTTAATTTTTATTTAAACAATTTTTTCTCCTATCTATTTATTTATTTATTTATTTTTGAGGGGGAGTCTTGCTCTGTCGCCCAGGCTGGAGTGCAGTGGCCGGATCTCAGCTCACTGCAAGCTCCGCCTCCCGGGTTTACGCCATTCTCCTGCCTCAGCCTCCCGAGTAGCTGGGACTACAGGCGCTCGCCATTTTTTAGCAGAGACGGGGTTTCACCAGGTTAGCCAGGATGGTCTCAATCTCCTGACCTCGCGATCCACCCGTCTCGGCCTCCCAAAGTGCTGGGATTACAGGCTTGAGCCACCGCGCCCGGCCTATCTATTTATTTATTTGACAGAGATGGGGGTCTCACCATGATGACCAGGCTGGTCTCAAACTTTTGGCCTCAACTGATCTTCCCATCTCGGCCTCCCAAAGTGCTGGGATTAGAGGCGTGAGCCACCACGCCTGGCCAGAATGCATTATTTAACCTGTCTTTTCTTATGGGCATTTAGTTGGGTTGTTTCCATTTCTGTTGCTCACTAATAGTGCTCCAGTGAATAACTATGTATATGTATCATTCTACATACCTGCCAGGAGTATTTGTTATATACATTCCCAGAAGTAAGGTTGCCAGGTCAAAAGACAAATGCGTTTGCATTTTGATAAATATTGCTAAGTAGCCCTACTTGGCACATTAGTACATAATACTAATACATAATACATACTTAGTACATAAATAGTACTTATGTACTATTTTTCATTTCCATCAGAATGACTCTGGAATTGAAATTTAAAATAAAGGGGATTCTGTAGAGCTGGTCAAGATTTTGTGAGCCTGTAGCACCTTCTGGGTCCTCAGTCAGGTCTAATTTCCTCTTTTTTGGGGTTTGTTTTTTGTTTGAGACAGTCTCACTCTGTTTCCCAGGCCAGAGTGCAGTGGCGAAATCTCAGCTCACTGCAGCCTCTGCCTCTGGGTTCAAGAGATCTTGGCCCTCAGCCTCCGGAGTAGCTGGGATTACAGGTGTGCACCACCACACCTGGCTAATTTTTGTATTTTTAGTAGAGACAGAGTTTCACCATGTTGGCCAGGCTGGTCTCAAACTCCTGACCTCAGGTGATCCACCCACCTCGGCCTCCCAAAGTGCTGGGATTACAGGCATGAGCCACCATGCCGGCCTCTATCTCCTGTCTTCAACGATAGCTTTTTCAAACCTTCCACCTTTGTACTTATCTCCCTTTTTTGTGGTCAATAAATGTCCTTTTAAGAGAAAAAAACAGTCCAATAAGTATGAACTTTGAGCTTCCTGGTCTTCCTCTTTGCCCACTACTCTCAAACTTATGCTCTACTCCCATCTCAGAGGAAATGGGAGCCCTTCACTTGTCTGGGACCAATTCTCTGTATGCTTTAGGTCATATTTCTCCCTGCTTACTCAGGGACCTCTGTCCTCAACCTAAAGCGCTCTCTCATTCTTTTGTTCCCAGGGTACCTACCCTTGGTTTTTGTTTGTATCACTGCAATAAAACTGCTCTCCTTAAATCCATCAGTGACTTCCTCAGTGCTAGGCTCAAGTGACACTTTGTAGTCTTTAGCCTCGTTAATAATTCAGCAGCATTTGCCCTTGTAAAAACTGCCTTTTAAATTTAAAAAAAAAATAATTAAATAAAGACAGGATTTTGCTATGTTGCCCAACCTGGTCTCCAACTCCTGAGCTCAAGCGATCTGCCTGCCCTGGCCTCCCAAAGTGTTAGGATTACAGGTGTAAGCTACTGCACCCAACTGAAACTGCTTTCTTTTCTCTCTCTCTCTCTATGTTTATTTATTTATTGCCACTGATTCTCTTTTCGTTTTTTTTTTTGTTTGTTTGTTTGAGCCGGAGTCTTACTCTGTCGCCAGGCTGGAGTGCAGTGGCATGATCTTGGCTCACTGCAACCTCCGCCTCCTGGGTTCAAGCGATTCTCGTGCCTTAGCCTTCTGAGTAGATGAAATTACAGGTGCACACCACTATGCCCAGCTAATTTTTTTTTCTTTTTTTTTTTTTTTCTTTTTGTATTTTTAGTAGAGATGGGATTTCACCATGTTGGCCAGGCTGGTCTTGAACTCCTGACCTCAAGTGATCTGCCTGCCTCAGCCTCCCAAAGTGCTGGGATTACAGGCGGGTGTGAGCCACCATACCCAGCCTTTATTTTTATTTTTTTAATTTTACTTTAAGTTCTGGGGTACATGTGCAGAATGTACAGGTTTGTTACATAGGTGTACATGTGCCATGGTGAACTGCTTTCTTAAAATTCTCTTCTCCCTTGACTCCAGGGTACCATTCCCTTCTGATTTTTTGTTTGTTTGTTTCTTTGTTTCTAGGGCTGCTTTTCTGAGTTTCCTTCCTGGGCTTCTCTTCTACTTCCTAT